TATATATATATATATATATATATATACAGTATATCTATTCAAATACTTGAGTAAGGTTTACTTTAAAGGGATAGTTCCAAAAATTTAAATTTGCTGAAAATTTACTCACTCTCAGGCCATCCAAGATGAGTTTGTTTCTTCATCAGATTTGGAGAAATGTAGTATTACATCACTTGCTCACCAATGGATCCTCTGCAGTTGAATGGGTGCCGTCAGAATGAGAGTCCAAACAGCTGATAAAAACAACAATAATTTACAAGTAATCCACATGACTCCAGTCTATCAATTAACATCTTGTGAAGTGAAAATCTGTGTTTGTAAGAAAAAAAAAATCATAATTTGTGTGAACTCAATTAATTTCACTTCATTTTCACTTCACAGTATCATAACATTGTGATATGACTGTCTAGACACATAAAACAACTGCACTGACATTAGTATTTTTAATAAGGCTCAAAGATCAGTCTGTACTATCTGTTTTCTTTATATCTTAACTGCAGCTTTGAGCTGCCACAATATACAAGAAACGGTCTCTTTAGTGACTCCCACAGATATATATTAATATGTGAAGGGAGCTGATAAGATTTAGTTATTGCTGGACTGTTATGTCTGAATATGGTCCAGACAGGAAGGAAGGGAAAGACTCTGCTTTGCTCCTGTTTTCTTTTTGGACACAGTTTCCTCACATCTGCAGGAGTTATTGATCTCCGATTTCTTTCTGTCTTCCTGATCACACAGGTGTCCATCCGTCATGACTGGATTTTGCATTTGTTTGCTTGCCTTTACTTGTGTCTTCAGAAGAGTTTTATGTTTTTATTAGTTTTTCATCGTCACAGATCTAAATAATTGTGGTCTACAGCTGATCAGGCATCTATAAATAAATAAGGAGCGAGTCATTAAAATCACTTAAAGGGGTCATAGGATGCTACATGCACTTTTACAAGTTGTTTGATTCAACAACACAGGGATCTGTCAAGATTAATTTCACCCTTCAACTATAATGCGTTTGTGAGCAAACTTGATTGTTGAGTCATTTAGCCTATTGGATTACATTTCAGTCTTTCTACTTCAAAATTTCACACTTAATTCAAAGTGTTGCTTGCCATTTCTTTTGTAATTATTTGTGAAATTTTCTAGCAGTTTCTGAGAGAAAATTTCAATCGTATTTATTTGCATAAATACAGATTTTATGTGTGAAATATCCAATTCAATTAATGATGCTATTGTTTGTGAAAACCTTTTTTTGCTGTTCTTATGGAGTGTTTTTTTATATAATTCATCAACTGTTTTAACATTGTTGAAAATTTGTGAAATAGCTTATATATTTTAAATGTGATTATATTATATTATATTATTTTATTATATTATATCATATTATATTATATATAGAGGCCTACCTGCAAAGCAGTACTGTAAAATGAGGATGCTGTCAAAAAATAATGTCATAAATATTTATATATATATATATAATTTATAATTAATAATTTAATTTAATAATTTATGCATTTAGCAGACACTTTTATCCAAAGCGAC